CACTCAATGACATAATAAACAACTGCGATGCCACGGGCCGGATTGCCAAGTGGGCCATCGAGCTCCTCCCATTCGACATAACATATAAGCCACGATGAGCCATTAAGTCGCAAGTACTGGCCGATTTCATAGCGGAATGGACAGAAGCCGAACTCCCTAAAGAGTACTGCGCATACTCCAATTGGATCATGCACTTCGATGGCTCTAAAATGTTGGCTGGTCTGGGGGCTGGCGTCGTCTTGACGTCCCCACCGGAGACACAGTGCAATACGTGCTCCAAATACTATATACAGACTCCAATAACGCAGTCGAATACGAGGCCCTATTACACGGCCTCCGAATGGCAATCTCCATGGGCATCCAACGCCTAGAGGTGCGTTGGAGACTCGAACCTCGCAATATCCCAAATAAATGGAGATTTCGATGCCAAGGATCCGAAAATGGCGGCATATCGCAACGCCGTCCTCAAAATGTCAGCCCGGTTCCAGGGGCTTGAATTCCACCATGTGGCTCGGGAAAACAACCAGATGGCAGACATCCTAGCCCGTATCGGCGCTAAACGCGACCCTGTCCCACTGAACATCTTCCTGGAAAGAATGTTTAAACCATCCGTGGTATGGGAAGGGGACACCGGCAAAAATAGTCCGGACCCGGCCACAACCCCAGATGCTGAACACTCTGACATAATCGGAGGCTCTGCCACCGAAATAACACCTTCAGCCCACGTGATAATGGTCGTCATCGCCCCATGGACAGAACCATTCCTGGCCTACCTAACCAGACAAGAATTACCCGAGGACCAAAACGAGGCCCGCTGCATAGTGCGGTGATCTAAAGCCTACAAGGTCCATGAGGGAGAGCTTTATAAGAAAAGCACAACCGGAGTCCTTCAAAGATGCATCTCCGAAGAGGAAGGGCGGAAGCTTTTGGCAGAAATCCATGCCGGACTCGGCGGCCACCATGCTGCAGCGCCGGGCCCTTGTAAGCAAGGCCTTCCGTATAGGTTTTTATTGGCCGACGGCCCGGGCAGATGCACATCATCTGGTACAGCATTGTGTCGGTTGCCAGCTTTTTGCAAACCAAAGCCACATGCCACCTACCGCCCTCCAAACAATCCCCATTACTTGTCCCTTTGCAGTCTGGGGGCTCGATATGGTCGGACCCCTCAAAGGGGAACCCATAAGAGAAAATACTTACTGGTCATGGTGGATAAATTCACCAAATGGATAGAAGCCAAACCTGTCAAAACGGCTGAATACGGACCGGTGATAGACTTCATATCCGGGGTTGCACACCGTTATGGCGTTCCCCACAACATCATCACTGACAACGGCACGAACTTTACAGCCGACGAGGTGAAACTTTGCTGCAGCAACATGGGCATCAAGCTCGATTATGCTTCTGTCTATCATCCGCAAACTAACGGTCAAGTCGAACGAGCGAATGGTCTTATCATGAGCGGCATTAAACCCAGAATAGTCCGATCTTTAAAGGAATCAGACACTCATTGGGTAGAGGAGCTTGACTACGTACTATGGGGGTTGCGGACCACGCCGAATCGCACTACCGGATACACACCATTTTTATGGTGTATGGCGCTGAGGCGGTGCTGCCTTGCGACATAATTCATGACTCACCTCGAGTGCGCATGTACAAAGAAAGAGAGGCTGAGCTCGATCAGCAGGATAGTTTGGATGCCCTGGAGGAGGAGTGCGACGTGGCAAAAGCCCGTTCCGCATTCTATCAGCAACAGGCTCGAAGGTATCAAAGCAGAGAAGCGCGGGCCAAAACCTATAACGTTGGCGAACTAGTTGTACGCCTGCCGGAGAAGAAAAAGAACAAGCTCAAGCCCAAATGGGAAGGTCCCTTCATTATCGACCAGGTTCTGACCGGTGGATCATACCGTCTGCGGGATGCATCGAATAATCGACTCGAGCCAAACCCATGGAACGCAGCCAGACTTCGAAGATTCTACGCATAGCGCCGGACTCTATGCTCATCTCCTTACCTCCATGAATTTTTTGCACACCTATTTTTTCTCTCTTTTCTCTTCAAGGCCCTAAGGGGCTATATTTGTGTCTTGGTCACACAATCTTGATGCGCTAACCGCACTCAATATAACTAGGGGCTTCGTATACAGAAGCTTAATCTAATTACCTTTCCGGGCTGTATGCCCCGCACATGTGTTATTCTTCCGCATGTATCTTTTTTCGCCATTATATGCATCAATATGACTTAAGTTTTGGCCAAGCTGGGTTGTCTGGCTCTTGTATTTATGCCCTATGTTCCCGTTAATTCGGCTAGAGCATAAGGGGAGCGCCTCTGCGATTGTTACTGCCGGGTCAGCCGGATGTGTATCTCAGACTGGGTGAAGCCGAAAACTAGCGTTCTTAAGGGAATATTCGGTCGGTGAATAAAAGATGACTTTCATTTAAATTACTACACGCCCCTAGATGTTTTTAACCTGCGTCTCACAGTTCGGACATGCACATTAGGGCATGCGTACCCAAGGAAAGGAACCCTTAACAGAACTATTCTCCCTGGAAGATGTTTCTTACTATCCATGTAATATAGCATAGCTAGTTGGGTACTTGCCTGTTCAAACACTTATGACCCCTACGCCTGGTTTCCATGCATATCCCGGTTTTTATATAACCGAGTGGGTATTTGGATACACTCCGGACTATCGGGTCCAGAGGTTGAAGCGAAAATGTCTGCCATGACAAATGATTTACAATCCGGTTAGGGACATTACATATGTCACTTGAAGTACACAGTCACTAAGAATGATTAAATTCTTCTTCTATACCATCCAACAGGCTGTCTAGCCTATAATTCTATTGGGAATACTTTGCGGCTAATTTTACTTGATCATACACTAAACTGACGGGGATCTCTTTCCCATCGGGCCCCACAGGTCCGACCTCGGCCATGTAGTTTGGGTCAGCCTTGGTATATCGTGTCTTCACCATAGCCCAGGCTTCCTTTGCACCTTGTCGGCAGGCTGATATCTTCCATAATCGGAAGCGCCGTCGCGCTCCCTTGAGCTTCTCTATAAGCTCCCCCATGCCTCCTGGCGGGGACGCGGAGGGCCATAAGGCTTGGGCAATACTCTGCATCACATGCCGAACTTGTTCGTGCAGTTGTGAGAGCTCTGGTAGAAGATCACCCGAAGACCCGGGCATCTCCTCCGCGGGACGACCCGTCAGCATACCTGCAGACATAACGCTGATTAGCAGGCTTCTTCGCCGAACTCCTTTAAAAAGTTCGTTCAAGCACTTACTAAAAATGCCGCGATGAAGCCGTTTATTCTCCTTCACGGAGTCCGCAAGCTGGGCTCGGACATCCTTCAGTTCCACGCCCAGCCGGATATTGGCATCTTGGAGATCATTTTTCTCCTGCCTGACTCGCGTCAGCACGCGCTCGCCAGCATTTCGTTATCGATCATCACGTGCCGTATCCGCCTCCACGGCCTCCGGATTCACTCCGGGGCCACCTGCAACATCTATTGTTAGGTGTGCATACATGCCGCATACTACCTGGTACCGATATTCTTTGCAATAGACAAAAGAGTTACCAGGGGGACCCTTTTTGGACTCCTTCAATGCGGCAACAGCGGCTTCCAGCTGGGCCTCGCACTCGTCCAGCTCTTGAGACAGTTGGGAATTCTTTTCTGCAAGAACCTGCGCAAATAATGATCCTTAAATCAGTTGCGTCAACTGTTTCAAGTCTCAGGGGCTACTGATACATATAATCGTCAGATTTGCTTACCCGTACATCCCTTACATACGGATCCGTGGCTCTGGCTAGACCATTTTGAGCAGCACGGAGGTACGCGTCTCCAGAATTGAAGGCATCAAATGCCTCTAGTGAGAAGCAAGCGTCGCGGAGTACGGCTCAGCGACGCCTATGATTCATAACGCTCTCCACTTCTAAATTTGTAGCGGATAGTCTATCCGCATTCTCTGTAGGAGGAGCATCCGGCGTCCGCCTCATGTTGGCTTCCGCCTCTATGTCCGGCCCTGAAGCCCGACTGATGGAGGCGTGAACGGCAGCCTCTTCGGATATACTCCGGCGAGCATTTTTTCTATTAAAGAAGTATGGACGTCATTACAGTTTGAGAAATTCATGTATTCATCGTGTTAATGATTTGTTCTGGTCGAAGCGGTGTTTCCGTCCTCGTCGCCATCACGGCGCAGCAACGATCGACGCTCCCTTCTCTCGCCTCCGTCACAAGTGCCGTGACGCGGAAGGACCTGTCCGCTGCACTGCATGCGCACGTCGGTTTCAGATTTCAGACGCGGTCGGAGGTCGCTATGCGCTGTGGCAAATGGCAGATGAAGCTGTCATGCGTGTGTGTGTCGGTGCGGGCGAATTTTTCAGGCTAATAAACTTGCTACTAATGCGCAGCTCAGCCACCTGCCGACCTCCAATGATGCTGTCTGTTTGCCACACGATCCTTAGTCTCAGTCGACCTGCTAATGCTAGGCTGTGACACTGGTCGTGCTCTTGCCCTTTGCACGGAGCTGAGCGTGACGCGCTGCCAAATTCCGTTTCACACGTACGTACGTACGTGCGTTGGCCTGTCACTCTCCATCTCTAGCTCAAGAAATCATTGTACATTCCTCTTTTGCATGGCACCATCCTCAACCAAACATCAACACGTACGTGTACACAGCAATGCGGACACTGAGATGCATGCAGTTGTAGGGAAACTCTGCTTTTACAAGTAGACTCTGCTCGCCCGACGTACAGATTGCCAAATGAGAAACAAATTTGATACTCAGGGGTAAATAGAACAGCTTATAATACGATGTATAAAAAAGTAGTAGCATTATTCTGCACAGATTCAGAAAAAACAGGGTAAGGAAATTGGTGATAATTATACACTATCATATCATGGTTGTTGCTACCCTACAAGATTTACTCCTGCAAATAATTAAGAGCGCTCGACGTCGCTCTCAGCGTCGCCCCGGCGAGACGACGTGCGTCCGCGTCACTCACACGTCAACGGTGCAGTAGGACGGCTGCGTGAACTTGAGCGTGACTGCCTGCTTGCCGCCCGCCGTGGCGCTCATGGCGAAGGCGCCGCCGGCGTTGCCGCCGCTGGCGGAGAGCAGCGCGGGGCAGTTGACGAAGATGTGGTAGCTGCCGGAGACCCAGCTGCCGACCTTCCACTTGACGCGGCCGTCCACCTTCACGTGCAGCAGCACGTACCCGGCGGCGATGTCCTGCTTCATGGCGTCCGCCACGTAGGGCGCCACCGGCACCGAGTCCCCGGACATCACCGGCGACCACACCGACTGGTCCTTGTGCCCCTGGTAGATCGCCGGCAGCGACACCGGCACCGTCACCGGCTCGTCGCGGTACGTGGTGAAGGCGTGCAGGGTCTTGTAGTAGATGCCCACCCGGTCGTTCGGGTTCCGGGACGCGATGGTCACCTGCGTCAGATATATACCAGAGCAAATACTGTTTCAGATACTCACTATGTAGTATGAAATGTACTTTATTTCGTGATGACAAAATTGGATATGCTTAGCTGACTACGATCCAGCTAGATTCCCTCATACTGATGTAGTGATGTTACTCTTCTAAGAGAAACATTCTCTCATACTCCTACTAGCTATCATGATTCACTAACTATAGTAGCTCTGCGATTTTAACAGTAGAACAAAAACAGAAACAGGACGCTAAACCAGTCGCTTTTACTAATTTTGTGCCTTGTTGCCTAATTGGGATCGAAGACCAAACTGTGAACTGTCCGAGATGAATGAAAACAAGAAGTTTGAGATGTGCAAACCTGGACGTCAAGGGAGAGAGCCGGATCGGCGAGGTCGATGGAGCGGAGCTGGATGTCCTGGAGGTAGAAGGAGGGCTTGGAGGGGTGCAGGGCGAGGTAGATGACGAGCGCGACGAAGCCGACGAGGACGGCGAGCGTGAGGATGCAGGCGGCGACGGAGCCGCAGCACCGCCGGAGGATCCAGTCGTGGTGAACCTTGCCCTTGCTCATGGTGACCTGATCTGATCAACTGGGCTCAGTCTCTGTGTGTACGAGTGAAGGGCTGCTAGCTGGGACTGTGGCCGTTTGCGATGTGTAGCATGTGGGTCGAAGGAAGGCTCGGAGTGAGTGGGAGTGGCTATAGGCTTACAAAAGTCCTAAATAGATTACACGCAGGAGGTGGTGTGGTGTGGTGTGGCGCATGTTTCAAAAGGTTGATTATCTTTTGGGGGTTAGGGGAGGGGGCGAGGTGGCGAAAGGTACAGCCCAACTGACGAAGATTCTTCTGCTTCTTCTTCCTGGGCCCCGTCGGCGGCATGGAGCTTACCTATCTATCTATCTGTTAATCCGAGATCGCTGCTCTGCGGCCTGCAGTGCGTGAGTCTGGTGTGCTTCTGGCGCTTGTGAATTGCGATTCACTCCGATCTCATCTCAGGTGGTCAAGTGCGTCAGATTCCTTCTCTTGTAGGACCTTTTACTATGAAGGTTGGTGTCTCCTGTTTAAAAAGAAAAATGAAGGTTGGTGTCTTGCATTGCATGTGCACGTACTCCTACTTCTGAGAACATGAGCTGACCTTATTTTGTGGTTGGCCTGTCAATCATTGACCTGTGCTAGCGGTGCTGAAATTTCATACTGCTATGAGTTAAGAAAAAAAGCAGAGCCGTTAAACACTGGTTAATTCTTCGCTCAAAGCCTAACTTGATCACTTGATCAGAGCGGCATGGATCCGGGGAGGGAGGCACGGTCGGTCGCACCTCGCACGCATGGCGGTGACTGGCCAGGCCTAGCTCGGCAACCAGCACAGCACCAGAGAAATCTCCTCCTATCCCTAGCTAGCTTCTCCCATCCCGCTGCAGCCTAGAGCACAGCGCGGCGCGCAATAATTTAGACCGAAGCGTCGTGCGAGTACCCGATCTCTCATGGCCCGGCCGTTTGCCGATCCGGTCGACGCGCGTAGTGGGAGTGGGAAAGGTTGGTGGCGCGTACTAGTAGCATAGCACATAGCACGCGAGCGTGGACGACGGTTCCGACGTCGCCTCACGCAACAGGGCAAAAGGCCCCCGAATTGGCCCAAGCAAGCGCGCATGGCGCCGCGCAACGAACGTTCCGGCCGGGAGCGTGCGTCCGGCCGGTGCCCTTCATTCGTTATCTCCCTCCCACTCCCCCCACCGGCCGCCCTGTGCCCCATGCCACCATGTGCTCCAGTTAAATAAACATGTAGTCTTGTCGATCTCCTACCTAATCATTCATTCGAGTTGCATACTTGCATCGGAATTTAGAAGGATCGATCATTCATTCGAGTTGCGTCGGAATTTAGAAGGATGGATCGTGCTCGCTCCGTCACAAAATAAGCCTCGTCAATTTAGTACAACTTTAATTCACGTTCGTATTAAATCAACGATATTTATTTTGGGACGGAAGGAGTATATGTACACAACCTTCCTACAAAAGATGCCTTGCTCTGATCATCGTATCTTGTTCTTTTTTATTCATCTTTTCTTCGTTTCTGAATCACATGCTTCGATCGATTCGTAATGACGAATATACTAGCAAACCAACCTTTGGTTGGATGGTTAAAGGGACTGTGTCCGGCGTTGCGTATTTAATGAAAGGAGACGTTCCCATGAATGATGAGGTGTCTATAGTGACTCCATAAATTTTAAGATGATATGTCGGATCAGTCTTTCGGATATGCTCAGAAGGGTAAGGTGTGTACGTGTGTGCGTTCATGTGTATGCATGTGTATACGAGCACTTGTGTCTGTACCGTGTTAAAAAAAACTGAATATACCAGCCACTCAAAAGCCGTGGTTAAGGGAAGAAATGAAAACATTCAGTAGTCCTGCTGAATAACGTTGTCGCGTAGTAGTGCGTGTGGTGGTGCCATGGTGCCGTATTATTTTTCTTTAGAATTTGGGCTTTCGGATAGAAAAGCGTTAAAGCAAAATTGTGGAAGCGCTTTGGGATCGCTTAGATCCATTTCCGAGTCACAAATGACTCGTGACTTTGTGAGAGGGGGTCTTTTTTCTCAGAAAGGGGGAGTTTGCTCGGTAAACATGCGCCGAAAAGAAGATATGAGCAAATTCCTCTTTCATCTCCATAGCAGTGTGGGGCAAAAGGCAGGCACCAAAAGGAAGCTGCATCAGGGTGGCTCTTTAACTTAATCTAGAAGTAACATTGCCACTTATTTTCCAAAATTTATGCAGACCGACCCTGAAGTTTGGGGTCACGGTTCGTGGCGCGCCTAATCACTCTAGAACAATCAGACAAAACGATTGCTTGGTTGTTAGAGCTGGAACTGAGCTGGGGTTACGGTTCGTGACCCTGGAGTAGTTTGTTAAGATTGTGCGTACAGTAGATGACAGGAAGACAACGCTAAATAGATACAACAATTCGTGCGTCACAGAATACAAGAGCTAGCATTCATGATGTACTACTACTCCCTTCATCCTAAATTACTTGTCGCATATCCATTTCTGCGGCAAATAATTCCGGACGGAGGAAGTACATGACTATAATACCGCTAATATTCATGAAAACATGGCCACAAGCCGCTATCTGAGTCCGACGAATCATTGCTTCCTGGATCATCATCGTGGTCACCAGGAGAACGAAGAAGAGAAGAACCAATCCAGACAAAGAAGTGCCACGAAATCCACCGACTTTGTCGACTACATCGTGTGCACGGTGAGCCACTATCAAAATACTTTTGCAGATCATCTATTCTAGGCCCTGGTTAGCTCATGAACATCAAGTATTGGTCAGAACTATCGCTGGCTCCGTGAAAGAAAAAAGAATATGAAGAAAGACTTCTATGTGAGGTAGAGCTCTTTGGAGCGTTAAGGGGCAGGTCTAGGTGCCAAAAGTTGTAAGAGAGCTAAAAAAATGTCTTGTATTTTTGTACAGAGGGAGTAAGTTTTAAGAGAAGGGCTAGAAATGCCCTTAGAACATCTCTAGCTCTTAAAAATTGAAAATATTACCCTTATCCCTAAAAGTTATAATTTTTAGGGGATTTTTTCATCTAGCAGATCGTCTAAAAAATATAGTCAATTCTTCCAAATGTTTGGTCAAACAATTGAAGCAAAATCATCATAAATTGAAAACAAACATAAACAATTCAAAAGTGTTATATCGTAACTGAACTACGAGCATAAATAAGTTTCATTCAATCCATCCGACAACTAAATATGACCATAGTTTGTGCCAAAAGGCACTGTAGCATCAAGACATATATTAATCCAAACTTCCCACAAAGCAACATCCTCCTCGCTCTTGTAATTGCATGACCTACTCCTCATTTTCAATGTTGGTTGTCCTCGACCTCCTCCGCCAACTTGACATTTCTCCTCATCTTCGAGGTATAAGGCATTGACATGGCAATGTCGTCGAGGCCGAGTGCGTGGCTTGCATTCAATTGCTCCACAAAAATCGACTACATCATCATTCAATTGCTCACTACAAAAGCAAATAGAATCCCTTGCGATTAATGTCACATCATCCATCAATCCTTGAGAAAATTGCAAACCAAAAAGTAAAGGGGGGGTTTTACCTTGCAGATATTTCCTCAAGCATGACGACCTTGCTCCTTGTCTCGTCTAAATCCGACTCCTCGGTGGCCTCCAGAGGTGGATGGGTGGTAGTGTGGTTGTAGAAGGCCGAGGAGGAGTCGTCCGCTCCATGGGACACCAAGGAGGAAGCTCCAGGTGACCACATCCTTCTGTTTCTTTGTCGCGGACGCCATGTTGTCTATCGCCTTGGCCGACGGTTGGCAGTCCCTAATAGGCACTTTGATTCCCCGAAGAGGAAGGGCGAAGTTGTGTAGTAGCAAAAGGTTTTTTCCCTTAGTTACAGACCAAGGTTTATCGAATCAATAGGAGACACCACATGGACAAGATAAACGGTACCTGCACACACACAAACAAATGTTTGCACCCAACGACAGCAGGGGTTTGTCAATCCCTACGTTCTCGCCAATTGCAATGATTAAATCTGATAGTGATAGATATTTAAAATAAAAAGGAAAATAAAAGTAAATAAATTGCAGCAGATATTTTTAGGGTTTTAGCACATATAAAGTGAATTTACTCGGGGGCCATAGGTTTAGTAGAGGCATCTCTCTCATAAGCATAGCAACAGTGGGTAATAAATTACCGTTGGGCAATTGATATAATAACGCATAGTTAAAGTGATTCTTCATGGCATGATTAATATATAGGCATTATGTCCGAGACAAGTAGACCGATATCCATCTATATCTACTACTATTACTCTAACCCTCGACTGCTATCCAACATGCATCTTAAGCCATTTTTTTGTTAAGGTATTAAGTTGATAACAAACATAGTAATGCTTGGAGCATGATGAGATAATGTAGACAAAGTAAGACCAAATAATATGTTCAAACCCTGTCATTTTACCCTTAATAGCAACAATACAAATATATGCCTTACAACTCCTCTTACCACAGAGTAAGGACACCGCAAGATTGAACCTACTACCAAACACCTCTCCCACTGAAGACAAATCAACCTAATTTTCCAAAAGAGATAGATAGATCAGAGAGAAATAAAAGGCTATAAAATCACACATAATAAATCTCAGAAAAGACTCAGTTGCTTTTAATGAATAATCTGGTCATAAACTCATAATTCATTGGATCCCATCAAACACAACGCAAAAGTTTACATCAGACTGATCTCAAACAAGATTGTCGTATTGAAGAGAGAGAGAGAGAGCCATCTAGCTACTGCTATGGACCCGTAGATCCTATAGGAACTACTCACACATCATCATGGAGGCAACAAGGTCAATGAAGATTGCCTCCACAATGGTTTCTTCCTCCGGTAGAGTACCAAAAAAGGCCTCCAGATGGGATCGCAGAAGAACGGAGTTCTGCGGCAGTGGAATAATTGTTTCGGGGCCTCTCCTGAGGGTTTCTGAATGTATGAGAATTTATAGCATTGGAATTAGATCAATCGGAGCCAAAGGGGGGCAATAAGGCACCTGGGCAC